GTCTGTCTACAGAACCAGCCTGTCCGTCCGTCTGTCCGTCCGTGACTTCACGTTTTCGTCGACGAGAAAATGCGCTCTCTGTCACTCACTGCAGTGAGTACTGAGTTATATTTTTTACAGGTAACGACTTCAAACAGGTTCCATTAATACAGGTAATGAAGGGGGGAAAGTGAAGTCACTTGAAAATAAAAGTTACAGGTCTGTGACAACTAGATATCTTGAATGTGTACAGGTGACCAAATACTTATTTTCCACCATCATTTGAAAATAACATCTTTAAAAGTACGACAAAATAATTTTCTAATTTTTTCACATTTTGTCTCTCATAGTTGAAGTCTACCTTTGATGTTAATTGCAGGCCTCTCCCATCACTTTAAGTGGGAGAACTTGCACAATTTGTGACTGAATAAATACTTATTTTCCCCACTGTATTTGTGGATTTAGTTCTGTCTCGATCTATCAGGACCATCACCACCTCGAAAATAATATCTCGGCCGAAGTCTTCTTACTACTGATAACATCCGTAATGACGTGGAAAAACGAGTAACTGATTCCTTCATTAGCATTATGATATTTTCACGTACTCAATGGCACATCAGATTTTGATAGTGAAAAATCAATTCTAAAATTAGTAAATTGGAAGGAGTTACTAAGTGAACATTAAAATGTAAGTTAATTATTTCCACTGTTCTCTAGTCTTGTATATAGGCATCATATACACATAGGTTTCGTTTACATGAATATTAATCGTACCCAAAAATAGATAGTAATTCGACGGTTGTTGCAGGCATGTAAGCTCTAGGTTGCAATAGCCAAACAGTTGAGTTTATTGCAAGTTTTCCAAAGATATGATCAGTTTTTAGATCTCAGTAGAAGAAATTAAAATCATCGAATTAAGTGGTTGCGATCTTGATAGGTAAATTTAAAGGTAACCAGAATTTTTTATTTAATAAAAGCTCGTATGCTGTAAAACAATCGTCATAAGAAACCTCCATTTTTCGGCCTTGAAATCCTGATTTTTGCATTTGAAACACTTTAATTATGCACTAAATGTAACATACGAGGCCTGTATCCAATCCACCTTTGATTTCAAAATTACTAGCCCAGCAAGGCAATATATAGTCACTATGATTACATCAAGTTACAGAGACGAGAACCAACAAATAGGTAAATTGCCCAGTTATTTTCAAATTGGATGATATTCATTGATACAAACTACAACCTGCATGCACTCATCTCTCGTTTACTTAGCGCGGTGTGGCGGCATTGAAAAAAATTAAAATTCTTTTTTAATGTTTGTTCAATTGTTATAATTTTGCTTAATAATTTCCTTCTTAAATATTTTTATCTTGGTAAAATATGAGCAGATCAATCGATTAACCGCACACCAGAATCGGTTAGTGACGACAGACTTGCTCAAAATGTTATCTAATTTATCGTTCAGACGTTATCGGATGATCCACGATAATCATGACCGAGATTCAACATAAGACGAACCATGCAGCGCCGGAAAATCTATTAATGTTACGTATACATTCAGCGAGGTGTGATGCAAGTAAGAGTCCGGACCGAGACCGAGTAAGACCGAGTAAGACCTAGGTGACCCGTACGAGTAAGAGACCGAGGGAATCGCTTCAACGAATTTAATTTGATAGCGTTTGATATCATTTTGGTAGCTCACAGTTGAGAGACGAGGCAAGCGGTCGCACCCAAACGTGAATTTAAACTAAGAATTATTTCTGGAGAAAGTATCCACGTACATGAAGAAAACCAGAAAACTGACGTGCCTACCGCCATAAAGCATCAAACTTTGACTGAACTTCTGAGCGGACATTTCCATGAATTCAGCGTAGCCTGGCTAGGCGGTTAATTGGCTGCTATACTATATAAGAGCCCGCGGCTGTATAGCCACGACATTGCAAATAAAGAAGTTTTCCGTCGGCCAGCGGCCAGCGGTGGAAAATGCCGATTTGCATGGTTTATTGCGATTAGAACGCACATGAGTGGGGTTACAGGACTTTCATAGAAAGAAAATTCCGTCCTATTTATATGATTCGTATTGAATGATTACTGTTGAATCCTTAATTGCTTTGCAGGATCTACCCGACCTCAGTTCGCAATTCCGGTTTTCACAACAAGTTAAAAACTCTTCTGCTCTGATCTGACTCCAAATGATCTAGATATAATAATTAGTTACTCGTCAATGATACAAAACTGATTTACACTAATTATTTTTTTCTATTTCAAAAAATCTTCAAGCTTCCCATAAGTTGACCATCGAATTTTCTATTGTCGCTTGCAACGTTCAAATTTTGCCATTGCGAAAATCGATTTCGACTCGAAATAAGAGTTACGGGCGGTAAACTAGCTACGAAAACGCGCTGCACTCGAAAATTTAGAGCTCACAAATAAATATTGGGCTACCAAATATCAAATATAAATTAGACACTACAAGCTCCAAAACTACAACGAAATCTAATCTCGCAATTACACTGTTAGAAAAAACGGTGAAAAAACGGTCCCACCGGCATCCTAGTGGCCGGTCGCCCCGTGAAAATAAACTGTTTCGCCGTTTTTATCAGATGTTTTACGGATTTCGGGTGTTAAATTGGAATAATAACGGTGAAACGGTGTTTCTTTTCACGTGCCGACCGGCCACTGAAACGCCGGTATTGCCGTTAACGGTCATTTTTCTAACAGTGTACCTCTGATCAGTCTTGCAATGGTCTGTTAATTGTCGTCAATTAGCGCGCTTCTGCAACCCGACTGTCTTGGACAAAAATTTGTCTGCTGAGAAACATGACACCAGTTCGCTAATATGTATCAAAGCTTGAAGCCCCATTCTAAGTAAACGTCAGGTTGATTAATAAATGTCCACATTACAACCACATCGTCTTATACAGGCAGCCTAAATGATAGCATGAAAATGTTATCCACTTACATTCGTTAAAGATTCGAAGCATTTCGGTATATGAAACACTCGTAAATGGTTGGTTACTGAGTATTAAATTCTGGTATATACGATGATCATAGTTACTTTCAAGTCTTGAAGTTTCATTCCATGCATTCCAACATAGACTTATTTTTAATTCGACGAATGGATGTTGCTGCCAAGCCGCCATGGGTATGAAGTAACTTATTAATGCACTTCTCTGCACTGCATTTCTAAACCGCGCGCTCTACTTTTTGTGTGATTTTGCATGCGCTCCTGGCGTATCATTTCACGCAGGAATTTTGATAAATTACTGCTGCAGGCTAAAGCGTTAACGTTGTTAATTCGATTAAAAAATTAAAATTATGCCGCAGCACCAAGGTTACTGTAATAAAATGTGCAAGACTCGTTTATACGGATCGGTCTATACGAGTAAAATCATCCTGAGTGCAACCTATATGCGTATATAGTTAATACGAGTATATATAACACCAAATATAGAGCGAACAATTAAATAATCTAATCTCGGCAATTTGTTTATAAATTATAGTGTGTGAAATCTCAGAAAATAGTTACGACGTCGTAATCTCAAACACCAAAGCAAGCAGGACCCCACCATTTGAATATATTCATATATAAACCATAAAAGACTCTACCAGTTGCTCGTTTTTAGCGCATTTTCCCATTTATGGGGAAAAAAGGCTCTATTGTACTCGCCATGTCCGTCCGTCTGTCCGTCCGTCTGTCCGTCCGTCTGTCCGTCCGTCTGTCCGTCCGTGACTTCACATTTTCGTCGACGAGAAAATGCGCTCTCTCTCAGTCACTGCAGTGAGTACTGAGTTATATTTTCATTAGTTTTGTGGCCTTTATACTAAAAATAGACAATTGAACAATAGAAAAAACTGCGAGTGAGCACTATTACAGTGTAAAAATTCCACACAGTAACTTGAATGAAATGAATAGATGGATGCTTCAATGACGGCACTTGACAATGATTTAAACCTTTGCAGTTCTGTTATGGCTATGCCGTTGACTATTATCCTTTATCATTGTCTGTCTTATTAATGACTGAGCATTGAGGTTGTGAATCAGTCACCTGTTTCATATATTTACCGAAACATTATATTCGTCCCTTCAAACTACACTTCTACTCTTAAACGTAAGAAAGTTTCCATAATTTCATTCCTTGTATGAAATATTTATTCTAAGCAGGTGAAATGTTTTGTCGCGAGTTCAGTAACGTGTTTAACGAATTTATTTTTTAATTTTACGCGGATGGCAAGAGTTGTATCAATCATGCGTATCATCGCTGATGATGAACATTCTCCAGCAATGTGCCTCACCGGCAATTCAAATCGTTCAGAGTTCTAAGGTCGTTAATTGCCTCAACTATAAACACTGCCTGCAGCTCTGTCACTTGAAGGCGATGCATTGCATGCACCTAACCAATCCTGCCGCTCCTTACATACTCAACGCTGAAGTGGAGAATATGACGAGCGTCACGTGATTTTACGTTCTTTTCAAATCTTCTAACCTTCCTTTTTATTATTGAAACAAAATTGATATTATTGTCTACATACACAGAGTTAATGCGTTAAGATGAAGATAATGTGTTCGACATCACACGTCGAGGGCATTATTGATCATATGGCAGCCTATAGCACCTGGTGATCAAGGCGAACTGGATGCATTCATTGCTTTGATGAGACACTGTTTCGAGAATGTAGGGATTTAAAAAATATTTCTTTTTAAGCATTCTGTTCCTTTAAGGGTTTAATTTTATTCCCTGATTTTAGTAACGGTCTACGAAAGAATTTTCCTTTCAGACTTTGGTTCATTCCTAGAGAACACCAACTTCTGTTACAACTACCCTGGACTGAAGAAATGATGTTCATTTATGAAACGCAGACGACTAAGACAGTTGGTATTGGCTCTCAATAGTAGGAAGCTACCGAAGTTTTGTTTTCCACCAGCGTGAAAACTTATTGTATTTTTTAATCTCCCAATTTCGTGATTTTCCTTCCTTCTGAGCCGCTTGATATTAATGTTGATTCTTATTCGCAGGAAGATGTCAGGTGCGGCCAGCATCGGGCTGGACCTGGGCGCAGGCAAGTGCTGTGTTGGCAGCGTGCGCGCTGGAGCGGTGACGGTGTTGCCAAACGCTCACGGCGACAAGACCACTCCGAGTTTTGTTGCCTTCACCGACTCCCGCAGCCTCGTGGGCAGCGATGCCAGGGACCAGGCGACGCTCAACCCAGAGAACACTTTTTATGGCATCAAAGCCGTCCTTGGCCGAAACTTCAGCAAGACTCTAAGAACAGAACCCTATCATTCCAATGGTGGTAACAGTCCTAAGCAAGATCCAAAACCAATACTCCCTTTGAATGAAGAGGATCCAACCATGCTTCCATACCTTCCCGCATATTCCACAACCGAAGACGGCTCCCCCGTCTTTAAAGTTGAGTACAGGGAGGAGAACGTGAAGCTACGTCCCGTACAAATCAAGGCTTTGCTAATCGCTACGATGAAGTCTGATGCAGATCACACGATCAGTGGGGTCACATACGCCGTCATTGATGTTACAGTAAATTTCAGCAACGCGCAGCGACAAGCCAATCGTGATTCAGCCAGCATCACCGGCCTTTAAGGACGTCACGCTGATCAACTCGACCACCGCCGCCGCCATCGCTTAGGGATCAGCTCCCCAGGGAAAAAGATTGCGTCGCTGTCGTAGAGGACAGGTTTCATTTCTTCCAACTGACAACAACACGATTGAAGAAGCTTCGTCTTTCTTCAGCACCGGGAAAACTTGTTTATTGTGTGAATACTTGGTTATTGTGTGAATACTTGGTTATTGCGTGAATACTTGGTTACTGCGTGAATATTTGGTTATTGCGTGAATACTTGGTTATTGCGTGAATACTTGGTTATTGCGTGAATAATTGGTTATTGCGTGAATACTTGGTTATTGTGCGAATACTTGGTTATTGTGTGAATACTTGGTTATTGGGTGAATACTTGGTTATTGTGTGAATACTTGGTTATTGGGTGAATACTTGGTTATTGCGTGAATACTTGGTTATTGTGTGAATACTTGGTTATTGTGCTAACACTTGTTTGTTCCTGTGTGAACACTTGTTGAATTTTACCATAGGCGAGACGGCAGCCTGAGTTCAACAAACTCTGAAATAAAACTTCGACTTCACTCATTTCAAAACGTGAGTCATTGGCAGGTGTGTGGGAGGGACTCATGAACAGTCGGTATTGACCACAACGTTCAACAAGTGCATGCTCTAGTCTATAGGGTTAACGATCGGATATAGCAGCCTTAATTTCCCTAAATATCATTTTAACTTAAATATAAAACAACGTTATATAAGTATTCCTAAGAAATTTATTCAACTCATGAGAAGAAGTTTATGAGTTCTTTGTTTTATGAATATTTTTTGAGATGAGTAATTTGTTTGAAGCGAATCGCGCTGTAGTAACAGAACAGTAGAAATGAAAAAAATATAACTCAGTACTCACTGCAGTGAGTGACAGAGAGCGCATTTTCTCGTCGACGAAAACTTGAGGTCACGGACAGACGGACGGACATGGAGAGCACAATAGTGCATTTTTTCCATGAATGAAAAAATGCGCTAAAAAAACTCGGATTTGTCTTTACTAAAACTTCCATTGAACAACACTGCTGCTTTTATGTTGTTAATAGCGAGCTAGCACAGCATTGCCTGGGCGCAATAATTTCTTCAATTTTTTAATAATATTTAATGATTTAATTATAATCCCCTAAGTCCCGAGTCCCGTCATAAGTACGTTCCCGAAATCCGTTAATAATATAAAAATTATATACTTAAATTTAATAGAGACTGCTCCAAACTCACATTTTACATAGAACATCGAGCTCCCATTTTACTTTCGTTTAAAAATGCGGAAAAAAAACTATTCTGCAGCTTTTAAACTCAACGTTTTGTATATTGCGGCCGAAGCCTGTTGGAAATTGCTTAATTTTGATAGGGTGTGTCTGTTTTATATACCCTAGAGTCCGTACAATTCTTACAGCAATTACTGAACAAACACAGGCTTTAAGCCCATTTTGATAAGCATCATCACGTCATATTTGAAATGGCACTCGCCTCTATCTATTATTTCCTAAGTAAATCTTGAAAAGTTTATAGTTCTATTTTAATTAAACTTCATATAAGCGTATTTGTCGTTTAATTTTTTGATAAGGAATTTCTTCTTGACATTTTGGGTGCATGAAAAAGTCTTCTTGTCATGAATTATTGTTAATAATTTTCATTGTGTTATTTCGGTAACATGTAAAAATTACACTAAAAATTATGAAATATATTCAGAATAAACTTGTTTACCAAGTCAAATTTCCATTCTACAGAACAAGCTGTAGCTTATCTGCCGACTCTATGATTATTTCAGTTATGTATAATGTTTCATTTTTTCCCAATTGTCGCCATAACACGTACAATCCAAATTAAAATATTGAGTAAATAATTTTGAACATGATATTTTGATTATAACAAACGAATAAAATTGCGAAAAACAAACTGGTGATGGAATGTTAAAGGTCCGCATTCATGGAAGGAACAGAATCTGGAAAAAAAATATTAAAATGCAAACGCACGTAAAACAAAAAAAAAAATTGTAACGTGCTGTTTAGATATAGACTTGAAAGTAAAGCAGATCGTTTCTGCTTCTATTATAACGTGATAGAAAATCATATAATCATCTCTCCAATTTAGACTATCATGACGCATTTTGTTGATGATAAAAAATATGACCTTTTAATCGGGCAGTTATTTATATAACATGTAATTTAAGAAGGAATACATTTTTTTAAAGCAAAATTAAAATTTTAGTCAAACATTTTTTATATTTAAATAATTATTTAACGAGAATTTATGTTTCGGAATTATTATTTTTAAACAAAGTATAATTTTAACCGAAATTTTTGACCAGCTTAGAGAAAATTTTTCATGGATGTGGAGGCTTGCATTCCAATAAAGTTTTTTACGTAAAAATATTATTCATACTAATATATCTCCGGCAAACAGTTTTTATTCAACTTTACAATATGGGCAAATAAGTAAATTATGATTTATTTAAGGGTTCACTGAACTCTGAAGCCTTTCACTCATTCAGTTCCATTTTTCAAGCCTTAGTCATCATGGCTCAGTTTACGTGTACAAAACATGGTCAGTTGCGAAAAAACTTTCCCCGAGTACTTACGACATTTTCTTTTACGGACAATTTAGTTCACAGAAATGTCGAAATTCAGGCTAACGTTGGTTCCTAAAAAATCGAAGTTTCCATGCAACTTCAATCGATATTTCGACATCGGGTTCAATGTCCGTGACAGTTGCGTGCTCCAGCACACGTGTCATAAAAAGCTTCCATTATACTGTACGTGCAAAGACCTGCTAGCCTGCGTGTAAAGACCTGCTAGCCTGCGTGTAAAGAGCTGCTAGCCTGCGTGTAAAGACCTGCTAGCCTGCGTGTAAAGAGCTGCTAGCCTGCGTGTAAAGAGCTGCTAGCCTGCGTGTAAAGAGCTGCTAGCCTGCGTGTAAAGAGCTGCTAGC